CTGGCCCTGCAGGTTTCACAGCCCCAGAGCCACCCGAGGGGACAGCAGAGGCTGCAGAGGGGGCTCCTTCTGGGACACCTCAAAGGGCATCAAGCCCAAGTGCAGGGCAGGGTCCCCCAACTCATGTCCCTCATACCCCATCTCCCTCCAGGAATAGGGATTCAACCACTGCCCTGGGCAGCCTGGGCCAGGGTTTGACAACCCTCTCAGTGAAGAAATTTCTCTTAGTCTGCAACCTAAACCTCCCCTGGCACAAATTGAGGCTGTTTCCTCTTGTCCTGTCCCTTGTCCCTTGGGAGCAGAGCCCGACCCCCCGCTGGCTCCAGGCTCCTGTCAGGGGGTGTCAGAGCCAGAAGGTCTCCCCTGAGCCTCCTTTGCTCCAGGCTCAGCACCCCCAGGGCCCTCAGCTGCTCCTCACAACTTCTCCAGCCCCTTCCCCAGCTCCGTTGCCCTTCTCTGCCCACACTCCAGCCCCCCAAACTCCTCCCTGGAGGAAGGGCCCCAGTGAAGCTCCACCAGACCCACAGTGACCCCCCAGAGCTGCCTGTTCTCACCTGTGTCGTTCTCCAGCTCGAACCGGAGGTTTTCTGGGGGAAGAAAAGAGGAATTCAGATCATCCAGATCCCTCCACACCCAGAGTCCTGCCCAATTTCACCTTTTAAGGTCAGATTTTGCCCCTAAGGCCCCAAACTTTTGGGCTCCTCCCCCAAACTTTCACCCTTAAGGGCAAAAAGGGCCCAAATTTCCCATCTTTAAGGGCCCAAATTAAACGTGGAGTTTAGGAGACCCCCCCCAGTTTTTCAGGAAAACCCTTTTCCCCCCCACTCACCCTTGAACTCCAGCAGAACCTCCTTCAGCACTGCACTCTTCTGGGAGAAGCTCTTGAGTTTCTTCTCCAGCTCTGAGAAACCAGCCTCTGGTTTGCCAAACATCCAGCTCTCAAAGCTGGGGAGCCAAAAAAAAGGTGAAATTCCTCCCCAAAAACTATATTAACAGCTCCAAAAAGGAGACAGGAACTCCAGTGGGAGCCTCCCAGTTAACCCAGCAAAGGCCCAGCTCACTCACCTGCTTCCAACTGGGACAACACCCTGGAGAGAGAGGAAAAAACCAAGAAATTAATTAGTAAAAGGGTTTTTTTAATACCTCAGACTCTCAAATCCACCCCAAAAATGCCCTGTGGCTGAGGGGATCCTCTCCCAGCTGCTGTCACAGGCAGGATTTGGGCAGAATGATGGAATTCTGGGGAGGTTTTTAATGCCCCTTTTGTCTTTTTGTAGTGTGGGTGGGGGGATAAAAAGCTTTTTTTTGGGAAAGAAATGAAGAAAACTCATGATTGCCACCAAGCTGTAAGAGCCAGGAAGACCCAGAGCTCCTGGAGTCTTTGGGGCATTTCTGATCTCCTGGTATCCAAGGGGGGGTTTGAAGCAGTTTCATGAGTAAAAATGTCAATTTTAACCCTCCCCAAAAGTCAAATTTGGGTTCCCCCCTGAAAACCCACCCAGAGAAGGTCAAACCCCCCACTCAGACCAGCTCCAGGATGGAGCAAATGTCCCTGAGGGGCTCCTCAGCACCCTGAGGCCCCCAGAAATGGGGAATTTTGGTCCCCAGAAATGGGGATTTTGGTCCCCAGAAACGGGGAACTTTGACCCCAGAAATGAAACAGGACTTTTGTCCCCAGAAATGGGGGATTTTTTTGACCCCAGAAATGGGGGATTTTTGTCCCCAGAAATGGGGATTTTTTGACCCCAGAAATGGGGATTTTTTGACCCCAGAAATGGGGGATTTTGGTCTCCAGAAACGAAACAGGATTTTTGACCCCAGAAATGGGGATTTTTTGACCCCAGAAATGGGGATTTTTTGACCCCAGAAATGGGGGGATTTTGGTCCCCAGAAATGGGGGGATTTTGACCCCAGAAACGGGGATTTTTGACCCCAGAAATAGGGGATTTTTGTCCCCAGAAATGGGGATTTTTGACCCCAGAAATGGGGGAATTTTGTCCCCAGAAATGGGGGAATTTTGTCCCCAGAAATTGGGATTTTTTGACCCCAGAAATTGGGATTTTTGACCCCAGAAATGGGGATGTTTTGACCCCAGAAACGGGGGGATTTTGGTCCCCAGAAACGGGGGGATTTTGACCCCAGAAATGAAACAGGATTTTTGTCCCCAGAAATGGGGATTTTTGTCCCCAGAAACAGGGGATTTTTGTCCCCAAATCACACGTTTCCCAGGGGAAGGCCCCTTCCCAGGACCCCCACCTGGCCGGGCTGGTTCCCAGAGCCATTCTCTGCCCCCTGCTCCCCCAGCAGCTTGTCGAGCTGGGCGATCTCCTCGGAGAGCTGGGCCAGGCTCTCGTCCCTCCTCCTCAGGACGTCCCTGTCCAGCTCCTCCAGTCGGGCCAGCAGCAGCTGCTCCTTCTCCTCCAGGAACCCCCGCAGCTCCTTGCACTCAGCCACGATCTTCTGCCTCTCCACCTCCGTCTGCTTCTGCAAGGGCCACAGGGGGAACCCACCTCAGACCCCCCCAGACCCACCCCAGACCCTCGGGACCCCAGTGCCTGGGCTGGGGCACAGCCGGAGGGTCAGAGAGGCCAATGGGTCCCCCCAGCACAGGCAGGTCCCCCCCAAACTCTGTCCACCAGCACCCCGTCTGCAGGGCTGGGGAACCCCTCCAGGGGTGGGGACTCCCCCACTGCCCTGGGCAGCCTGGCACCGCCCTGGGCAACCCTCCAGGGCAAGAAATTGTTCCTCAGGGGCAACTGAAACCTCCCCTGGGGCAGCTTCAGCCCATTGCCTCTCCTCCTGTCCCCTGAGGACAAGAGATCTCCCCCCGCTGGCTCCCGGCTCCTGTCAGGAGGTGTCAGAGCCAGAAGGTCTCCCCTGAGCCTCCTTTGCTCCAGGCTCAGCACCCCCAGGGCCCTCAGCTGCGCCTCCCCACACTTGGGCTCTAGACCCTTCCCCAGCTCCGCTGCCCTTCTCTGGCCACGCTCCAACCCCTCAAGGTCCTTCTGGGAGGGAGGGGCCCAAAACTGCCCCCAGGATTCCCATCCACACCCCTGTGGCCAAAGGGGGGGTCTCAGGGAAGCCCCCAGCCCAGGGGACTCACCAGCAGCTCCTCACTCTGTTTCTCCCTCTCAGCCTTGGCTTCTTCACGTCCTTTCCTCAGGGAGCTCAGATGCTCCTGTGGAACCTCCTGGAAGGAGAAAAGAGGAGAGCAGTTGGGAATCCCTCCTTTTTGGGATCAAGAATATGGAAAAATGGGTCTGGGGGGGATTCCCTCCAGCTCAACCAGCCAAATTCCTTCAAAATATTGGATTTTGAAGCTGGAGACCACCAAGAATCCAAACTGAGGTGAGTCCATCATGTATCACAGCCTCAAACCTTAGTTCTGGGCATGCCAAGAAAGCCAAAAAACTCCCTAACCAGCCCCAAAACCATCCCCTTAAAAGAGCCTGAATCCAGAGCCAGGTGCAGGAGGCCAAAAAAAGGGAAGTGAGGCAAAAAAACCCCAATTAAATAATAAAAAAAATAAATCAGAGCCCACTTGGAATCAGCTTTTCCACCCCAGCCCCCCCACGAGCAAGGGAAATCAGCCAAAGAACCCCCAAAATCTGCCCAAATGCCACCAAAAGGGAAGGGCAGGACACTGGGGGGCTGCTCGTTCTGCTTTTTAAGGGTTTATTCCTGGAAATCGGCCTCATTTTGGTGATTTGCCCCCGAGGGAGACACGAGGCTCCCAGAGCAACACGCAGCAGGGAGCTGGGGAGCCAGCAACGACCTCAATTCTTAATCACTTTCATAAATAAATGGCAAAGCAGAGAGAGCAACGACTGAAATCCTTAATTTTCATCACTAAACCACAAACTACAAAGATTTCTGTGTTAATGGGCCACGGAAACCACGTTAATGCTGGATTTAAAACAAAAATGAGAGTAAAAACCCACCGAGACAGAGGCTGCAAACAGCCCCCAGATTGTTAAAAAAGCACCAAAATTGATTAACGAGGGGAAAAAAATCAACCACGAGAGGGACAGGTCAGCAGCGGGGCTGTAGCAGTGCTAAAAAAGGTGAAAAATCCTATTTTTGGTGTTTTTTTTAGGGAAGGGGATGTCACCAACTGGTTCTGCAGCTTCTCAGAGCACCCAGAGCTGGGGAAAAGGGGCCAGGGTGGTGTAAAACTCGGTCTCTGAGCTGCCTGGATCGGGATCATTGCAAGAATTAATTAATCCGCGGGGGTTAACGAGCCTGGATCGGCCGCCATCACCCCGCTGCC